CCAGCCCACCCATAGCTGAGGTTAATTAGCATATTAGAATTGTTGGGATGTACTAATGTGGTAATGGAGTATTAGAAGATCCACACATAACCTCAAAAACATTGCATTTTGGGAAATGTTTAATTGAATAAATACAACCAAGATGTTGTTGTTGAGGCTGTTAACTCTGGTACTTTTCAGAGACTTTGATATGATGATGCACATGTTGAGAATCTCTAAGAGGGAAAAATAACAGGAAGCACTTCCAAATTGATCTGCCCTTTTCAAGAACATACCTATTAATGGCCACCCCAATAGGATTTTTCTGATGTACTCCAGAAACTGCTGAGCTAATTCAATTGCTGCTTAATTCTATCATCTGGACAGCAGGGAGTAGAAACCATATTTTCTACCCGTGTAAGGAACCAAATTTGCTTTGTTTTAAAATATTGTCAATTGGAAGTCCCTCTATTTCCATGTAGGTTTACAGAAAAAGAATAAAACATACATTAAAAGTGTTCATAGTTTTGAAGACCCATCCAGATTTCTGAAATTGAAAAATGATATAATGTGGGGGGGGGTGTATTTTAGAATTGAGCTAGTATCAGGCAACCCGGGTTTTCGTTTAAGCACTCTCTAGGAGGGTTGCGGAGACCAGTGTTCCAGGAATGGGCTGTGACTCGCTACAACCCCGAACAGTCCAAAGACCAAAGAGAACTAAGGTCTCATAACGACAGTCTCACAACAGACTTATCCAAGGGAGTGAAGACACAAAGTGGTCACGTGCTAAGAAAAACTAACGACAGGGATAAGGAAAGAAGCCTCCCCCACACTGGAAAAAAAAATCCTAGCAGTGAAAAGTAGGGGTAACACCCAAAATATAAACATCAAGTTATGGGAAAGAATTTTAAAATAGAAATGTTCCCTACTCATGTTAAGTAGGAGAAACCATTTAAATTAGCTAGTGAATCTGAAGAATTACAACCGGAAGGTGTTTCTTCACCGTGTGCTGATTACCATCAGGAAGACAGGCATGGGCCTTGCAGTTTTATCTACTAAAACACTAAATGGTACACTTGAGTTTTTGAATAGGTTTCTGATTTTACTGATAGGTCTCTCTAGTGCTAATCATCTTAAAATGAAAACAAAGCACAAATGGAAGGCTAAGATAAAGCCTGTGGTCAGCTGGGATTCCATTTGGCAAGGCAACATAAGAACTTATTAAAGTTCGGATCTCCTCTTACAACTAGTCATTTGGGTGCTACATAAACCTTATTCTTTCTTTAGGATGTCATCTTAGGGGCCCGCCCAACTCCAGCAGGCACCCTCCCAAGGCCTCTCTGATACAAAGCAGTTAAAGTTCAAGGCCGCAACTAGTCATGGTGGATTCTCAGCCCAGCACCCTAGCTTGGGGGGCAAGAAGAGCGTAAGATTGGGTTGTGCGCAAACAGTCCTTGATTATTAGCAAAATGATACAGAGAGGCTGATATACTGCACAGCTGCCCCCGAAGTCAGCCTTCCTTCCCCTCAGAGAGAGAGGATCTCATTCACCTCCGACACCACCATTGACAGAGGAATGGAAGGCCTTTGCCAGGTGTGACCACCACAGAACATGTCATGAAGTATACTTCACCTTCTCTCCTCACCCCCCAGTTCTGCGTAAGCTGTCCATTCAGAGAAGGCAGCACATTGCCAGGGTTTTTTTGGTTTGGTTTGTTTTAAACACTTGCTTATAGCTATTCGACCTGGTATCCAATCTTAAGGTTCAAGCTGCCATAACTTTATGCACCCCACCCCCCGCACAAATGTCCGAGATCCCCAAAGAAAGGACTTGTCAATAGCAGGGTCACCAATCTCAGTCCACTCAGGAGTCACCTAGAAACCAGAGGCTGAGTATTCTACAGTGTGAAAGAGACGGTGGAATCCTATCTTCCTATGTGGGTAAGATTCATTCATTTGAAGACCACCGTAAGTGACACAGGTACTGGAAATACAAAATGCTTTAGGTAAGTTCCTAAAACACCCTAGCTCTGTATGTGAAGTATTAAAATAATCGCATTTCAGAACAAACCTCACCTCTCTCTTTTTCTCTCTCACGCACACACACCTCCCTGCTGTAAGTTAGTGATTCTGTTGGCATGGTCCTTGGACTAGCAGCACTGGCATCATCTGGAACTAGTCAGAGATACAAATTCTTGGGCCCCCTTTCCTCCATCCTAGACCTAGAGAATCAGAGACTCTGGCAGTGCAGCCCAGCACTTTGTTTTAACAAGCCCTCCAGCTGACTCTGATGCTCAGGATTGAGAACCCCTGCTCTAGGATTAGGGAAGATGCAGCACCTGGGAGGCGCAGGAGCTGGATTAAACCCTTATTAGCCCAGTGAGAGGAAATCCCACCCTTTCTTGTTTTTGGTGACTACTGGCTCTTAATCTCAGACTGATGAGGGGTTAAATCCTTAGTTCAAGGTCACTGTTGGAGGCCAAGTCAGAGCTCCAGCCCAGGGTCTGCTGACTCATCAACCTTAATTGTCTTCATAGGGGTCTAGCGGATATGCCAATTTTGGGGCCCAGGACTCTGAACATTGATAAGGCAACCCTGGAGATCTCCTAATCTACACCAGGCTCCTTTCCTCAGATAAATATGAGGGCTCAACCTCAACCCTTAAAATCAAGAGAGGTGGATTTTAGGAAAAGAAAAAAAAAAAGGATAAACAACTATTTCCAAAGAACTGAGCAACTAAGCATCTCAGTGAGGAGTGGGTAGAGGGGAGAAGGCTTAGGTGTCTTATTATAATTAAAAGTATTCATTAATTCAGAAAAAAACTGAGTAAAGAGCACAGGCACAGTAAGATCTGAATGGTGCTTTCAAGTTTTCTTAGAACTTTCATTTCTATTATCTCACCCAAGTCTCACAACAATCCTGCAATGAAAGGAGAGAAGGCCCCTAGCGTCCCCATTTGACAGAGAGGAAACTGAAGGTCAGAGTGGTTACTTGTGTATCAGCACAGTCATCAGCTGTCAAGCCAAAACTTGACCTCAGGTTGGACTCTAGAACCTGTATACCCACGCCATGTGAGTCCCACAGCTGGAAATCCACCCCAAAGCAGATTAACCCCAGGGAAAAAGCAAAAAGAAAAACATGCAGCAGAAACGATGAGCCCCTAAAGCACAGCACCCGAGCAGTGTGTGGGTGCCCCTTTAAGAACCTAACACACAAATCCAACAGCCAAGGTGTTCAGCCAAAAAAGAAAAAAAGGAGGGAGAGAGAGAGAGAGAGAGAGAGAGGCATATTTCTAGCCCGCAGAATCATTTCTGGACCAATTCCCACTAGCAGCCTCTGAGGCGAAAAGCGTCTCACTGCCTGGCTGAAGCTCCTTCACCACCACTCCCCCCTCCCCATCCTACCCCCACCCCAGGGGTTATGACAGCACAGCTCTGACTCGTGTGCGGGCAAAACCCCAAAACTCAAAACAAGAAGTGAAAAAAGTGGAGCTAGAAGAAACCGGCAGCATCCTCCACACCCGGGCAACCTGCACAATGCCAGTTCCAGGGTCTTGGGATGGCCTGCAACGCGATGTTAGGAGCCTGTGGAATGAGGCGGACATTCTGGTGGACGCACTGGCCCTGTTCTTTCCCACCCAGTCCCCAAGGAAGAATAATTAAAGGGAGGATTCCTTATGAAGTCCTGGGGCCAGAGCCCAAGGCAGATAAATCCAGGCACCCTCTCCTAAGGATCAGAATGTCAACTCAAACCCTCCATCTGGTCCTTCCCTTTAAGTCCTGTCCTCTGCGAAGATGAGCAGGGTGGGGTTGGCGGGGTGCTGTAAACCTGAGGGAAGGCTGGACGAAAAACTGTACCATCCGCCTACCCCAGCCATATCGCCCCAGGTGTGTGGGGCTCGATTCCGACCCGCGCTACCCGCGCTAACTCGGAACCGGGCGCCCCTGACCACGTCGGAGGTTGGGGAGGGGGCTGCGCCCAGCTACACGATCTGGAGGTAGGGAGCAGTGCCGCCCGGACAGGCTATCTCACTTTTGGCAGGAATGATTTTCCTAGAAGACCCCACGTAAGAAATCTGGTGAATCGCGGATTTCCACCAGGGATGAAGGAACTCAGGCCAGGGGCGCAGCGACCCACTCGGCTCCTCCACACCAGGGTCTCGGGGCGGCACCCTCGGGACTCACCCTACCGCGGCGACAGCGCGGAAAGAAGGGCTCCATCCTCAACTTTCTCGGAGAAAACTGCTCCGCTCCGCGGCTTGCCTAATCCTCCCCGCACACTGGGTCCCAGGTCTGGGGAGAACCAGGGACCGAGTCCCTCACTGCGCGCACAAAGCAGCTGCGCCTGGGCGCGCAGCCCCCTCTCCCGCCGCCCGCCAAGTTGAACGCATCTCTCTGGGCGCCTCCCTACTCCCAGGGCCCCGCAGTGGGGTCTCTGCTCCGGCCGCCCGCATTGGACCGAGCTCGGGGTGCCCCGACCGCCGCGGCTACTGCAGCCGCATCCCCCCCCCCCCCCAAAACCCGGCCTGGCCTCTGCCTCTCCCGCCCGGTCCCCCACGCCCCGGCCCTACCGTGCAGCCCGGCTAGTGCCGGGGCAGTGCCAGTGTGCGGCACGCGTCCCAGCCGGCGAGACTCCTCCCCGGGGGCTGCCCCGCACGGGGCTCCGGGCTCCGGACAAGGTTCGGCCGGCCCGGGCGCTGGCTCGCCACCGCTCGCGGCTCCCGCGCCGGCTCCCGCTGCCGCGCGCCAAGAGGGAGGGGTTGAGGGGGGGAAACTCCCGGCAACTCCAACTCCGGGCGCTGGAGCTCCAGCTGCAGCCGCGCGCCCGCCCGCCACCGAGTGCGAGCGCCTGCGAAGCAAACCTGCCCCCGCGGCCGCCTCTGAGCATGCCCAGTGCCGCCGTGGGCGAGCCCGAGCGCCCTGGCCCGGGGCAGAGAGCGGCTGCGGGGGGCCGGAGATCCAGCCCGGACTCGGGACTGCAGATGTGGGGCTAGGGTAGGGAGGGACGAGCCAGTGCCGCGGAGGGGGCCCTAGAGCAAAGGGCCAAGGGGGGATAAAAAAACGGTGTGCGGAAGGCAATGCCAAGTTTCACGGGTTGTGAGAAGTTTGTGGGCTGGAAAGGTAAGCTGCTTCTGTGAGTCTCTCTGCACGACTCTGAAAGGACGACAAGGAAGTATTTATTCTAACAGTAGAGTGGGCCCAGCACATGGGTTTTATCCAGTGCACTCAAGCCTGGGGTCGCTAACCCAAAGGGCTAACGACGGGGCCTGGCAGGTAATACAAATAAGTGAGCCGCCTAGGACGCGAAGCAGTGGAGAGGGCTCTAAAGGCGCGCTCTGATACAAACTCCCAGTGCGGTAATGGAAGAATTCAGGCCCACCTTTGCTAAATTTTCCGATTCTTCTAATGGCAGAGAGTTCGATTTTTTCTCATGGAAAACATCCTGATTTTTACATCTTGATAATAAGTGCAGGTTTTTGTTTGTTTTTAACACTGGACCAAACAAATTATATCTGGGTCCCTTCCCTGTTTGGCCCCACAGAAAACTAATGTGAGGATTGTGATTTCTGCTTTTTTTTTTTTTTTTTTTTTTTTAAGCAAAGAGGTGTCGAGTGCCAACTGTGGTTTAGAAGGCACTGGAAAGGATCCAAAATGATTCAGATGGCTATCAAAGTCCTACCAGTTACTAAGGGAAATGGGTTTTCAAAACAGAAGAGGGCTACAGATAAATGCTGGGGCATTGAAGAATAGAAGTTACTGGTGTGGAAAGGGGTAATGAGAACTAACTTTTGGGAAACATCATTAATAAAAGTAGCCAAGGGAGAAGTCGCTGCAAGATCAGTTAACGGTGCACAGCAGAGGAATTTTGGAGTCTGAAGAAAAAGGAAAAACCAGTAATGCTGACCCTGTCTTTCTTTGAAATTTTGATATTTTTCATCATGCATTGTTTGCATTAATTTTTAAAATATTCCATCAAAATATTTGTATTGGTTTCTGAGTTCCTTGCCATCCCCTTGAGTTTTGCGGCACACCTCACCCTAGCCTGTGCCCTGCTGGGGTGCTACGGTGGTGGTACACTGGTCTGCTTAGTTGGAGTGTAAGGGGCAATAAATAGCATACTGAAATGGGAAAGGGGGTTGGCGCAATGGGGCAGAGCATTTGACTGCCAGTTTGTGGAGCCTGAACTTCAACCAGTTGTTAGCAAAGATACTGGGGGAAGACAGTGACGTAATCCTGACCCAACTTTGGGAAGATGGGCTGCTACAGATCCAGGAAGGTTGTTTGGAGGGGAAGAATAGGAGAAATGGGGTAGTTGGGGCACATTCATGGTTGTGGTCTTATGAAAATCCAACCCATTTCCCTAACAAAGTCACATGTAGCTTGCTTATAATTGGAGAGGCATGTGGTGGGGCTAGCTGAGTGCCTGAAGGTAGGACTCCCAGGTCCTGGTTTAAACCTCAGCCATTTCCTACCAGGTTTCCATGGGCAAGAGTCCAGTTCTAAGCTGCCTTTTCCTTGTGTATTAAATTGTTGGGAGATTCTTAGAACGTTTTTGTGAGGATTCAGAGAAATAAAGTATGCCTAAGGGCTTTGAAAACTAATAGTTTAAGCAAATATAAGGCATTGTTCTTACCTATATATCTATATGAAATAGAATTAAACGAAGAAGTTCTGCGGCTTTACAAAATTTGTCTTAAGCAGGAAGCTTCTTTGATTTAACAAGCTCTTTTTGTGTGTGTGGGATTCCGTTGACAGAAATTTGGAATCAGCTTTTGGGTAATTCGACAATTTTGTGAATTAAGGTGTCTCTGTACTCGTCTCTACAGCAAGTCACTCAAAATGACCCCCACCCTTTGTATGGCTACCCTCTCTCTCACCTGCAGGTCATCAATGCAGTCTTTGCCTTAATGAGACACCTGGGACTTACCTCTCTGCCCTGGATCACTGTCACAGCAGGTGAGTTCCTTGGTTGCTGCATTCATGGAGAACAAACCACCACTAGTCTACGGGAAAGCATTTTAAGCATACAGAAATCTCAAAGAAAAAAAAAATGCTTGGGTGTTTACACAAGAAGCCTTCCAGAAGTTATGGAAAGGTGGAAATACCTAGGCCTGACCTATGACATAACAGGTAGTTACAAATATTTGCAGAATATATAGCAATTTATATCATATGAATCTTCTGTTCTGCCACCCACAGATCCTAAGAATTATTTCTAAAAAGTCGCACTAATGATAAAATCATAAAGAAGAACCAGGACAGTACATAAACATTTCTAAAGGATATAAACAGGATCGAAACATGTTCTTTTCTGAGTAAAATGCTTTGTCTACTTATATTTTAAATTGTTTTTAAAGTAATTTTTATTATTGGTAGTAAATAATACATAATATTATAAGGAAACTCAGTCCAAAAGTCTCAGTAAAGAGAAAGTTTCCCTTTCCAAGAAGCATTGTTATCAGTTTTTTTTTGTATCTGGTTACAAAAATATCCCACTCCCATGAGAGCAAGAATTTTTCCTCTTGATGTCTAATCAAGAAACCATAAAACTGAAAAATGCCAAATTACAGACTTTTAAATTACAGTTATGTTCTGCAATAGAAAAGGGAAACATGAAAGCAGTTTTCTCTTGTGGCACAAGTATACTCATGGTCATAGGGACAGCAGGTCACATGGCAAAACCCTGGTTCTGACCATTAGGTTGTGTGAGAAAAAAACTGAGTTCGCCTAGAGTTCTCCTGAAACCTATAATGCCTCGTGTTAACATCAACTTAAAACACCTACAGATTTAGATGCTCTAGGTTGCTCAGGAGTGTAGAAGGAAAGGCTGTCTAAATAACAAATGGAATGAACTGATATGGACAAAGACAGCTTGATCTAGGAAATTGTGCATTGTAACTATTTTTAACAGCATCACTTTTAGCATCATCAATCAATGTCTTCTAGACTAATAAGGTCTGTATTTTTTTTTTCTAAATCCTACTACACAATGTAGCTAACATCTTTTCCAGTTCTTTGTTCTGATAATGTGTTTTCAGATAAGAAATTGAAGAAGTCTCAACTTTTAGGTTGATTCATAGGAAACTGCCATTTTTCTTGGCCATAGTCCCTGGAATATTGGCAATATTAGTTTGTGATTCCCAGTGGTTCCCCTGGCAATAACAGAATCACCCTTGGGCTAGAGATAAGTCTGTGGCTGTTGCATGTATGTATCAATTGGGAATGAAACCTGTCACTTCTAGTGACATAATATGGGGGTCTGGGAGACCCACAGCACCGAAATGGGCTTTGAGTGCTTATGCTAGGGACTCTATTCTGTTTTGCACACAATTAGTATTGGTGTAGGGTTTTACTTTTCCAGGTTTCTGGCTGGTTTATAAATGGAGTCCACCTTTTTTCACTGAGTTGCCATGGTATACATTCTGGCCCTAATTTACTAATTAATATATGTTTGCCACGTGTTTCCAATCAGATTGTTAGTTCCTTGTGGGCAGGGAACGGGTCTTAAAAGTCTTCAATTTCCCTCATCCAATGCTAGCTCAGAAGCAGGAGCCCATCAACAAATGAGAATTACCAGCTGTCACTGTTCAGGGACAGGAGACTAATAATTGACCTCTAAAAAAAAAGGAATCTATTCTGAACACATGCATAAGTATAAAATTGGATCTGTGATAACTTGCACAATCAAAGGTATGGGCTATTAAAAGTATATAATAGAAGTAGTGGGAGACGAACAGGAACCAGAGGCTGGGTTGAGTCTGAAAAAAGCTGGATGCAGACAGCGGCTCCAGAGCAACTCTAATTGGAAGATGGAGGAACCAAGCGGTGGACAGTGGGCAGTCGCTGCCTTGTTTATATCAACAGTCCCAAGTCTGTCAGCCTGTGCAACTCCCTGGCCAAAGTCTCCAAATAGGCCAGTATGGTCCATTCTTTGATTGATGGATATGCACTGCATAAGCTGCTCAAAGCAGCCTCCGTGGATGAGATGACCACCTGCCATGCTACTGCCTGGCTGCAACATCTCCAGAAGTTCAGCCAGGACAGAGAGGATGTTCATCCACACTCCATAGAATATGGGCTAAGTTACGACTGCCCAGACACAGAAAGGATGTTTGACGATGCAGCAGCTATAGGAGAAGCTCAGTGATGACTGCCCAATGCCTGGTTGATGAAATATGCAAAGTAGCAATTAGTTGATCTGGAGCGTGATATCCTACAAGGAATACCTTCACTGGGAGTAGATTCCATCTCAAGAAACCACTTTTCTTGCTCATCCAGAAGAAGCAGCTCCTCATCCGCTAAAGTTTTATCATGAGATTATAGCAATTCAGTCACATCTTCGGGTTCCACTTCGAATTCTAGTTTTCTTGCTATTTTCCCAAACCTTCAATTTGTAAAAACTACATTACCTGTGGAGCACAATAAAGTGCAATAAAAAAGAAAAAGAAATAGTGAGCAAAGGAAAGGAAGACTTTGTTGAAGAAATGATGTCCAAACTGAGGTCTGCAGGAGAAACCTGAAGTAATTAATTGGCAAAAAAAAAAAAAGGAAAAGAGAATTTCAGCAGAATTTTAAAAACTGCATGTGCAAAGGCACGGTGGTAGGAGCGATCTTAGAGGTCTTTAACCAGTCACTAACCCCATGGACTTTTGATATAACTCAACATTTAGAAAGAAGAGCTTCCATGAGGAAGCAAACTGCCCTCAGTGAGAAACGTAAAGCAATATGGTGTTTAGCAGCATGCCATGGTAGAAAGGGCAAGGGTTTGATTTTAGACAGATTTGGGTTTGAACCTCTGTTTCACATTCTTGCTATATAACCTCGGGCCAAGTGTACAGCTTCTCTAGATACCAGATTTCTTGTCTTGTATTACCATCTATGGTATTCACTGAAAGATTAAAAGGGCACATGTGTAATGTACATAGCACAGTACCTGACCCACAGCGAGTGCTGCTGAAAGACTGCTTTCATCTCCTGACCACCCATCTTGGTAACTGCCAGAAAAATGGGAGGGGGAAACCCAGAATGTGTTTTGAGTTTCCAGTCTGAGCTCTTTCTTAGAAGCCTAGGAATCATACTTTATCTCCCCAGATCCAGTATAGCATTCCTGTCTTCACCCAAAAAAAAAAAAAAAAAAAAGATTTAATATACATAGAAAATGTTTTAAAATTGTTTTACCTTCTCCTGTCTAGTTATCCTAGTGTTTCCACCTATTACTATATTTCCAAAGAAAAGGTGGTGAGGGAGGGATAAATTAATACTTTAAAGATTTTAGCATTTGTATTTATGAAGTTAGGACTTGAGATTTACTAAGCCATTACATAGACACATTTAAACAGAGACTAGTTCTGAATTTCTATCACAAATAGCTAAATATGGCTCTTCTCTTTTCTCTTGACTTGCATGAATTAAGTCTTGAAGAGTAGTCTTCAGCAGAAAAAAAAACCACATATATATGTATACACACACACACACACACACACACACACACACACACAAAGATTGTTTTGATCACACTCTGCTGCAACAGGGACTCCCCCTTAACTCAAACTTGGTTTGTTGTACTAAGTCTGGAGTTTGTCAGACTGAACATCTTCCTTCCTTTATTTCAGCAATGTTTTTGAAAGACCTGTTTTTGGTTTAAAGTGACTGTCTCCACCAAGATCCAGAAAAGCAGCTAGGCTCAGAGCTAACAGAGAGTCCTTTATTCTGCCAGAACATAAGCAAGCCAGTGACCACGCAGAGTTGCTATCTCTCTCTCAGCTTCTGTGCTGCTAGCTTAGAGGAGAGAATGTTGCGCTCCATCCCTCTCTCTGATGGAAGGGGTTCCTCTGTGACACATGCTCCTCCTCCTGTTCTGTATGTTCTGGTCCCCTGGCCCTCCCAAGACAGTCACACGGAAAGAAGCTCCTTCTGCTCTGTCCCCAGAGGCTCTTCAGGCCCAAAGGACCTGCCCAGGCCCTTCTGCTGTTGCTGCCTCATTGTAGAAACGTGGGCCCAGAGCTTTACTACTTAACGTTGCATTTCCCAGGGCGCCTGCGTGGTGCAGTCCATTGGGTGTCAGACTCTTGGTTTCTGCTCAGGCCCTGATCTCAGGGTCATGAGACTGAGCCCCACGTGGGGCTCTGCCCTCACCGTGGGGTGCTTGAGATTCTCTCTTCCTCTCCTTCTGCCCCTCCTGCTCATGTGCGCTCTCTCATTTACTCATAAGTAAATCTTAAACAAACAAACAAACAAACACACCTGGCCTTCTCAGCCCAGCAGCCTCAACATTACTGGGGAGCTTATAGAAATGCAGATTCCTGTTCACCCCAGACCCTGAGAATCAGAATCTGCCTTTTAACAAGACTGCCAGGTAATTCATTTGTACATTAAAGTTTCAGAAGCACTGTTGGTCCCAGGCCACCCAGCCAAGAAAGACAGGGGAAAAAACAAAAAGCATTTTAAATAAAGGTGAAGTGCATTTGCTTTGCCCTGGATGCCCTTTCTTCCTCCAGTCTCCAGGCTTCATCTCTGTGTACCTAAGTCCTACCCTGTCTTTCTTGAGCCCAGTGCCTTCTCTGGAAAGCTCCACCGACTGCCAGAGGTGTCTTCCACTCACTAACCTGTATCTTACCACAGTGTGTTCCCACCGTGCAAGTATCTTTGCACAGGTCTAATCCATCCTATTCAAGGCTTGGGACTCGCCTGAATCTTTATATCCTCTAGAGTGGTGGGCCCTGGGGGTAAAAGCCTATTTATTTATTGAAACAAGGGAAGGGAAAGAAAAAAGAAACAGCTACATTCATGAAGTAATTGTCCCTGAAAAACTGAGTGCAGCCCCAGGGATGCCCTTGAGCCTGTTTGAAACAGGAACCTGGGAACCATGTTACATTCATCTTTAAAGAGCCCCAATACACCGGACACAGAAATGTCCCAGTTTTCCAGAAGTTAACGGGATCAGATCAGATTCAGAC